AGTGCTGGAAAGTAACATTAACTGAAGCACTTTACTTAATTTACTTAAAACTGATTGTGAGATCATAAAATGCAACACACTGCTGTGGTTAGTTTGTTGGAAACTCATCAGTTTCTTGCCAGATGAATTGTTTAGACAGAAATGCTCACAGGATACAACAAGAAGAAGCAACAATTAAATTCCTTGGTTTATCGTCTGATTGTGTATCTTAACCATGATGTAAATAACAGTATTAAACACCAATTAATATCATAGATAAAATATTTACCATAGGAAAAAATATTCACTTTAGTGTCAAACACTTTTGATATTATAGTATATTTTAGCTGGTTATAAGCTACAGTTCCAGCTTATGTCACTGAATTGGTTCGGTGCAGGTGGGCGTGGGATGTCACAAAAATTCTATTTGAAAAGAAAAGCAAAATATTTGAAAAGCAAAATGGAGCAATTTGTGATGCAAAAGAAGTTAACTGGGCCAGAAGTGTTAATTTGAGTCATAACTATGTGTGTACCCTCACACAGAATCCAGGTTACTATGATATAACAGCTGAGGACATGTCTGTGTGGCACATTCCCAACAAGTTGCCGCTGGAGCACTGGAACCAAGAAGCTGCAGCCATCCTCCGCTACCACACTGAAAACCAGTTCCTCACATTGTACGGAGGAAATCTCTTTCAGCTGTTCAAGGTAATTAAAGCTCTGAAGAATTTATTAATTTGTAAATTTCAAAAACATAAATGATCAAGAGGAAAAGCTTCTGAAAATTGATCCAGTAGTTTATATTCTGTAGTAAATCAGCCGTTTCCCAAGGTGGAACGTTGGTGGAACGTTTTAAAGTTTCAAAAATTCCTGTGAAAAGATCGTTAGTTGTCTGCTGCATCAATGGTATACTTGTCCCGAGAAATAAAGGCTGTGAACGTGTCTGCTACTTCCTCCTCTGGTTCTAACCAGAAAAGAAAGAGAAGTGAGAGACCCCAGAGCACAACTGAACAGGAGGATGACTCACTGGTCACTTTATTAGAGATACTTAGTTGATACCAACTTGGATCCCCTTTGCCTTCTGAGCTGCCTCAATTCCTTGTGGCCAAAGTGTGCCAAGAAAATATTACACCACCTTTGCATCACAACCAGGCTTAATTGTTGATACAAGACAGGATGGAGCCACGCCTTCATGTTGTTTATGCCAAATTCTGATCCTGCCATCCCCTTCAAAATGTTCTTGGAAGACGTTTTTTTTTACTGCAGAATATAAACCACTGGATCAATTTTCAGAGGCTTTACTCTTTACTTTTATACATATATATGTGTGTTTCTGTGTGAGTGTGTGTCCATACATACACACTCATGACAAACCCCCCCAACACTGTTGCAGCAATATCCGGTGAGATACAAAGTTGGAACATGCAGTGACAGAGGGCCAGCTATTCCCATCATATACGACCACGGAGACGCGGAGTCCACCAAAAAGTTGTATGGACCCAATCCAAGAAGTAAGAAGCTCATTTAATCAGATTGAAAATGATAATTTGGATCATTAGAAGACAATTAATTAGACAATTAATGTGTAATAAGAGTCTTTTACATATTTTACACATAAAATAGTTGTTTAAACTTGCAACACAAAATGAATAACAGAGTTTTTAAGTATTTATGAAAGTACTCTATTAATTAAACCAGTTGTCATATGAATGTTTATTTAATTATTTAATTTGTTTGTTTGTTTGAATGAAAGGGGAGTTTGAACCAGGCTTCATCACTTTCAGAGCAATAAACTGGGAATCTGCGGCCATGGCTATCTGCTCTGGTGTCAAGCCGACTGTCGGTTGCAACACTGAACATGTGAGTAATCAGTCGTCACACATCTGCCTATATTGTGTGAGTACACATGGTGTAAAAACCCTGTTTTTAGTATTGTATAGGAGGAGGAGGATATTTCAACCCTGAGGAGCAGTGTGGGGACTTCCCATCTTTTGACTACGACAGACTGGGCAAAGAGCAAGGCTGGAGCGCCTCCAAAGAGATGACCGAGGCTGCTGTGTTACTGTTTTACCGCTGAGTGGGTTTGCGTAGCCTCGACTATAGTCAGTCCCAGCTGTAACCAGATCAGGTGACATCAGATTTATTTGTACAGCCATCAATCATAAAATTTCTCTTTTATTGGAGAACAAATCAGAAGTTGACAGTGAAAGAATCATTTGTAATTAAGCAACACAAACCGTAGATGGCACTGCTGAACTGTGTAGTTACACGAAACATTCAAAGTTGTTTTTACTGGAATTAATTTGACAGTTTGTTTTAGTCAGCAGAGAAAAAGAAAGATGAACTGCGAATAGATTTCATGGTCACGGTCTAACCTTCAATTTTTATGAAAAAAAATTTGCATGTAAGTCATCCTCATTATTATTGACGAGCACATACACCTAAAATACTCAGGACTAACCAGTGAAACTGAGTATTTTTTAAATCTTGTGTCCATTGCTTCCACTGACAGCTCATGACATAAAAACCTTCAGGTGGTCTAGAGGTCACCTATAGCTGAAAGACAAACTGGCCACGCTGGCTGGATATAGCCATGGACTTCAAACAGATGCTGGAGGTCTAAAGCTTGCACATTTGTTCCCTTGTGTGATGTGTGTCCTCTGATTCTTGGAACTAAAGATCTGATTAATTAAACATCAAATTTTCACTGAAGGTTTAGTAAGAAATGTGGTAAAGATGAAATGCGTTTCCATGGAAACCCTGCTTTGATTAGAATGTTATTAACCTGATCTAGAGCTATATTAAAAGCTAAGACTAGGTGTGGCTTTATTTAACCTAAAAGACAGACAGACAAACAAATGAACAAACAAACAAACAACACCCACACTTGAAAACTAACTGAAATGATTTTTTGAAATAAAAACAAAATACAAATATTTGCAGTAAATGTCCTTACTTGTAGTTTTTGACAACACAGCGAGTATGACGCATTTGTTTGATGAGACATGAGATAACTAAACAAGCAAATACCCAGCCTCACAAAGTGTTGTGTCTTTATTGTAATACCTGTTTTAACTTTTCCAAATTTTAGCTGGACAAACACTCTTCATATAATAATAATAAGAAAAGCAAGAAAAACAAAAATCCCTTTAAAACTAACACTGAAACTAGCCTAAACTGAATCCAAACCTTTCTAAACAGTAACACCAGGGCTGAAAATACAAAACTGTAACATTTAACAACGAATGCTGAGCTTGCGGTAAACGTAACTGCTTTTTTTTTTTTTTTTTACGTCTCTACCATTTTACTTACCTGACTTCTTACGACCATGGGTCTGATACAACCTTTGGTTAAGACAGCTAACGACTGCACTGCAAGCAGAAATGATGAATATAAATGTAGGTATTCATTTTTTTCTTTTTAGGAATAATGCACATCTTATTTATTTAATAAATAAATAAATATATTTATATCCCCCCTCCTGTATGCCACTCTACGAGTCAGCTGAGCTAGAAACTTAAAAAGAAAAACAAAACCAAACTCTTATGGAAGAATACTCTACTCGGAAAACATGTATTGGTAAAATATAGCAAGAATAAAATTGTTCTAATTGTTATGTGTATGCTCTGAATTCCTCAGAAACACTAAAAGAAAATGAAAAACAATTAAGATGATTAAATATCTAACAAGTTAAAGAAAGGGGATGAAACGGGGTACAGGTGAGGATTTCCGGTGTAGTCTCGATTTTCTGCACTACGCAAACAAAATTCAAAATAATGGGAGTTTATTTTTCACATTATTGACCTCCAGTCTTTAATAATCATTCTCCTCGGTGTTTCTTAGTGTGACAGAAAAGCAAAGCTGAGAAGTGTGAGGTAAATATTGTGTTTAATAAACAAACATCAGTCAGGGAACTGACATTAGTCTGGGGATGGAGACGGGGAAATATAAAGCACAATGCACATGTGTAGTGGTGGAGGGGGGGACATATTTATCTGTTACACAAGGTGCCCCCCGTACAGTAGGAGCAGGAAGTTCTATATAACATACAGATCAGGATCCAAGTCTACGGTACAAAAACTTAGCAGCAACATGTTAACATCGGAGACCAAGGGGCTAACAAAGTAGTTTCATTTAGAAAAAAGTCACAGTATTCTTTAAGCATAAATTTGTTAAAAAGGTAAAAACAGTCCTAAGCATCCTCTAGGGTCAATGCTACTCACAAGATCTGTGTGTGAAATACATAGGTAGGGAAATTATCTATACATTTATACTCTAATATAAAGACCTTCTGGTAATGGCACAGTACAAACTTCCAGGAAACGCGACAAAAATATACAATGTCTTCACGTCACATTTGCAGATTAAAATGTAACTAAAGGTCTCTGGCAAGCACAATAGTTTCAGTGATCCAAAAAAAAAGGAAAAAACAACTTCTCACCATTTTGTTAGTTCAGCTATCTTGACAGATTATGTCTTTTTAATACAAAAATAAGGACAAATACTGTATAAATTAATATATATTAAAAGAATCAGATTGATACATGGGGAATCTACTGAATAAGTACAGGTATTTATGATACAATAAATACTTGTCATTCATGACTGGGGGCAGAATAAACGGACTGAAGTGTGTTTATCCTGGCAGGTAATAGGTTTACCTCTATAGGTGAGAGTATTTATGTGTGTTTGTGTTTGTGTGTGTTGTTCAGTAGCTGTAGAAAATAGCACATGATTGAGCACAGCTGTGTGTAGGATCATGCACACAGTCTCAGAGGGTTCAGGAGGTCTGTTAAAAGGGAGACTGCAGACTGCAGTGGTGATTTCTTGTGAAGGTTGTCACTGCTCGCCCTCTCCCAGTGCCTTAACGCAGCTCCTCCTAGTGGTGAGTCTGTGGTACTAAGGTTACTCCTAAAACACACAACTGGGGGACAGGAAGCAGGAAGTCTGTGGTCAGGAAGTGGTCAGCTGTCAGTGACACGTCAGTCCTCCAGGGAAGAGACAAGTGTGGCACACCATTAGAGTCATCATGACCAACAAAAAGAAGTAGATAAAAGGAAAAAGTCAACTTCTGTGTGTGTGTGTGTGTTTTTTTTGTCTTTTTCGCCACTTCATAATAAAAAATAAGTCTGTTTTCGTACTTTACAATACAATTCGACATCCCCACCGAGGAAGCATCAATCATCAGTCCAGCACTGACAAGAAAAGAAACTTTTTTTTGTTTGTTTTTTAAGGGTTTAAAAAAAGGTGGTGGGGGGTACTGTGCATGGTTTCCTCACGGGGAATTGGGATCTTGGACAACAGGGGGTGGGGGATCAAGTAAGGCGAGCAGGAACACAGAACATGTCTGGAGAACAGAAAAATCTGCTGAGGGTGTCGTCTCTGTTTTTTCTTTCTTTTTTTTTTTATGAAGAACACTTTGTACAGCCGCACTTGACAACTTTCTCCACTTCCTGGACAAAAGAAGACCCGTCAGTGCACTGGAACGTGTATTTCCTGCGTTTGCTGCGAAGGGGGGTGCAGCAGGTGCCCTGTCCTTCTGCTCCCCCCGGGCAGCTGCCTCGACACTCTAAACGGGAGACCTTCTCCTGGGTTTGGCACGCCGCGTAGCCTTGCTGTCTCTGGTAGACATCTCGGACCCGTTCCCCTCGGCAGGCCACCTCTGCGGACACAAGGAACAGAAAGAATATTTGCAAGGTGTCCAAAGTTTTTACTGAGAACTCCACCAATTCTGCACATCATGGGAAAAGGTTGTCCGGCTTTGGCAACAAAGTAAGAAATATATTAGGAATGAATGATACGACTACTGTTTGGATTTTTAAAAAAAAAAAAAAAAAAGAGTTTTGTGGGAATGAAATGTTCAAACAGGAGTGCTCTATTGTGTTCAAATGACAGGCAATCTTAATGGTAAAAGCAGCAACACAACAAGTCAGTACACCAATGACACAAAGAGGACAGCAAGAAGAGCAAGAAGAGGAAAAAATGGCACGAATATGAAGAATAAAGAAAAACCCTTTCTAGAAATAAACTGCTGAGTGAACTGTTCATAAAACTTTCGGGTTTAATTTGGTTCAATGGCGTTAGTTTAGTAGAAGTCGATGTCTGCTGCTGGTTCAACTAAATTCAGATGTAAAAGAAAGTTTTTTCTAGAAGCCTTTTTAACAACTCGACAGCTGAAAACTTGATTTTTGTCAATCAAACACTTTATTTGTTTCATATTTAGGAATTTGGTAGTAACATCGAAGTGATACTACTACACTACTACAAAGACTCGTAGTATGTGGTATGAAAGACTTTCTGTATCTGGTTTTGTGTCAGTGGAGCTGAGTCGGTCTGTCCTTCACCGCCATCCAGTAAGCAGCGGCTGGGCCCGGAGCTCGTCAGGATTATCCATGATGGACGGTGACCTCATCTCCACCACAGCTTCAAGTCAGGTTTCCTAATTAGTTTATTCAGTCTGTTGGTGTCATCAGCTCTGATGTTGCTCCGCCAACAGACCGCAGCAAAGTACACTTCAATCGCCTCAAATGGCCCATCAATTTGTTGCACACACTGAATAGCTCAGCCTGAAAAACTGGCCTGCCATGTGTGTATTTTATTTGAAATTACAACGCAATTATTTACAAATATTTAACACTACAATAACGGGGTAAAAGGAAATGAAGAAATAATGAAGAAATAATTATACCTTAAGTAATGTGTATGTACTTTTACACATGCTATATATGTATAGTTTTGCTTTGTATAGTATAGTCCTGAAAAAATATGACTTGTTCTAATGTATCTACCTTAATGTTTTTGTAGGTAAACAGAATTACAGTGTAATTCTCCTGTGGAGCTCCTGTGCTGCTCATCAACACAGCAGACAGCTCTCCTCAGTCTTGCATCTGTCAGGTAGTCAGTAATCCATTAGATGGTGGATGTGTTTACTGACACGTTCTGTAGCTTCTCTACTGCAGCAGCGGTTGGATTGTGTTAAATGCACTTGAGAAATCAAAGAGGATGATCCTCATTGTGCAGCCATTACTATCTAGATGGGAAGAAGCTCTCTGCAGCATGTAAATGATTGTATCATCATCTCCCAGACTTGGTCTGTTTACAAACTGCAGAGATTCAACACTAGCATCTTAGGCACCTTCAACACATGTGATGTGAGGGCAACTGGTCAAGAGCTGTTAAGCTGAATCTTACACTGTTGATAAATCTGTGAAATGAGTTGACAAAAGTAGTATCCAGCTCAGAAAAGGAAATGCCCTCGATACACAGACAGACTTGGTTCTTTCTGATTTACCAGTCCTGGGATATAATTCCACTAATATAAAGCCATGTTACCTTTGCAAAAATGTATTCCTGTAATGCTAAAATTAGTATTAAAAAAGGTTTTATTATTCTGCAGAGTTTGCGGCGCTCCATTACAGTGGGGAAAAAAAATAAAAAGCTGGAACTTTTCATGCTATATGTTGCATGAGGTGACAGCAAGTATACTGATGAGAGGTTTGCTGGGCTGCATGCAGGAGGGAAAATTAGTAAAGAAAAGCTGATGTTAACATGCGATCAGGTGGTCTCACCTGAGTAACCCCTCGTGTGGGATTAAGAGGAGGCTCAGGAGATGCTGAGTTGAAAAAGCGACAGGTTAGAAGCGTCAGTGCAGAGAGATTAAACACTTTGAGACACACGCTGCTGAGACACTTTAAAGAGAGTTAGCAAGTAACAGAGAAGCTCAGACTTTGTTAAAAGAAGCCCACTGGAGTATTAGATTATTATTTTTAGAAGAATTAAGGTAGTGCACCGAACAGGCATCCGTGTTTCGCTTACCTCTGTCACACGCCTCTCCTGTATATCCGCTGTTACACTCGCAGTACGCCTTGCCCAGGCCTGACACTCTACATTTGCCATGTTTGCAGCGAGACAGGCTGCAGGGGTTAGCTGCATCCTGGTCCTGCTCATCACAGAGGACACCAGCAAAGCCAGGCTGGCAGCGGCAGGAGTAGGAATAGGAGTTGATTGGGATGCAGGTACCGTGGATACACCTGTAGGGTGGAAGAGGGGAATACAGAACGTAAAGAACTGGACAGACAAATCGTGGTCTCTCTTTGAGAGCCATTGCACTAGCTGTGGTTTTAGACGAAGCGCAGAAACACTCACTTGTTGCCATCACAGGGGTTGCTAACTTGCTGGTCACACAAAGTTCCCGTCCAGCCTGCGTGGCATGTACAAGTGAAACCGCGGTGTCCAGTTGGGTGGCAGTCACCTTGGACGCAGGCCCCTCTCTGGCACGGCTGACAGCCCGGCTCCACCCCATTGCCCAACCACTTTCTGGTGGTACTCTGGGTGGTTCCAGATCCTGGGAGCCCCGCTTCAAGCCCAGCTCCTAGATCCTGGAGCTTCCCGTTGATGTAGAGGTTACGGAGGCAGCCATGGAAGCTCGTGCCATTACGGCCACCCGAGCTGTGCTGTAGAGCCGACAGACCGCCAGAAGCCGAGGCTCGCTCTGGCATCCCTGCATGAAGACAGAAGTATCTCAGCACCTCATTTAAGATGATTAAAGATCATCTTAATTATATTTTTGTGTGTATGGAAATAAAATCAGGTCCAAACTCAACGTGAAAGCTTTTTATGACTTGATGCTTCACACCTAGCCTCTGGCCACCTGTACATAATGTTTAAATCTAAGTATTTATACTATAATTTGTATAAGTATTACGATATCTATCTGTTCTACAACACTTACACAGACACAGCCATTAAGAATATACATAGCGCTGAGTCCTTACCTCCCACATAAAGTGGAGAATCTATATTGAGTGTGGACTGCTTGTTGAGGGAGTTGATGGATTTGGGCGGCCCGCCATCGATGGACAGAGACAGAGTCTGATCTGATGCTACTAACTCCACGGCATGGAAATTACCATCATTCACTGTCTCCACACTGAGAGCGAGAGAGAGACACGAGGGAGAAATTCACTTCAGACATCTGTATCATCCATCATGTGAACGTGGAGCCAGGGAACGGGCTTTCTGTATACCTGTATATAGCAGAAGGAGGATAGGATCCAGTGTCGTAGCTGACCCTGAGGCGTCCCCTGTACAGCTCCATGGCAATGTGATCATTATCCCCTTTATACAACAACACGCCACTGTCCTCATCGGTAGCAATCTGAAAACACAGCAGGATCTCCATGTTAGTGGCCTACAAGTGCACATAGTTCTTTTCACCTGCTGTAAGAATTGTCAAGTCATTTTCAGGTATATGTACTTTAGTTGTGTATTTATTTTTCTGAAAACTTATCACTTTTACTTCCTATATGTGTACACAAATATCTCTGCTTTTACTCCTTACATTTTCAAAACAAACTTTAGCTTTCAGATATTTAAGGGGAGTTATTATTTCAAGTCACTGCACAGAATATCTATAGATCTTTTATAACTCTTTACTCTGGGGTTAAAGCAGGCCAAGACATCCACGTTTGTGCAGATGTCTGTAAGTTGTGGTCGGAGTACATCAGCATCCAACGAGCATAAAGGAAATAATGTTTTTAAGGTTCACAGCTCAGCTCCACAAACATCAGCGAACACTCAAACTGTTTGTGTGCAGTTTGTCACACAGTGTGTTGCTAGCTAAAGGTTCAGCTGCTGTATTTCCTGGATAGAGAAAAGAATGAAAGCTAACTTCACTCTGAGATGGAGAAAGATTGAAGACAGACATTATTTCTAAAATGAAGGACTGGAAAGTTAAAGATTTACTTATATTTATATTCAGTTCGGCTCAGCTAATCGCAGCCTGAACACAAAGAAAATCTGGTTATGCTCAAAATAAAAATGATTTCTAAGTGATTATTTCCCCCACAGCCCAACCTGCTAAATCTCACTTTAACCTGAGAATATACTCTTTCTGTTTAGTTGTGGAGGCTGAATCATCTGCAATACAGGCAAAGCAAATTCTACATCACAGCTGTTCAAATTAAAAACAATATCATTAGAGTTTAAATTGAAATAAACTTTGCCTTCCTCTTACTTCACTCTCACTTGGGTAAAGAGATCAATTTTTAAACACAAGTATCTGCATCTTCAACTTAAACAAAGCATGTGTGTACTTCTGTGACCCCTACTTATACCTGCCTACTTAAACCTGAAATTAAATCAGCATCACAAACTTGTTGTGAGAGTTCCTGTTAATACGTGCATTCACATGATTTCACCTACTTTAACTCTGTTTTGTTTGGTTTCTCTAGAAGAGAAATTGAAAGGCAAACCTGATGGTTGGTGTTGCTGCTGTGATCTAAATGTATGCTAATACATGAGGAGCACAAACTGGAGATGAATCTTTACAAACCCCTGAAGGAAATCTGACTCTTTAGCAGCTAAGCGCTCCACTACGTTCACCAGCCAGTCACTAACTGTGTCTGCATGCCAATGAGAGTTTAATGATAAATATTCCGACACAGTGAAATTAGAAAATCTGATGGGAGGCACAGATTGTCATGGTCCCTGTGTCTGCCGGACCGCAAGGCTACATGTGTTTTTGTTTTTGCTCTCTCTCTCTCCTTGGGCGCTCCGCCTGGGCGGAGCTCATTGCGGCCTCCCGCCCTTGGCCCACACACCTGTTTGCTATTATGTTGCCATTACTTGTCGCCATTTAAGGCCTCGACACAGACCTTCCCATCGCTGGATGATTGTGCAAGACGCGCTAGTGATCCTTTCTAGCTTTTGTGAACATAGCTTGTGTAAAATCCGTGACTTT